GGGGTGAGGACGTGTTTAAAATTATAATGAAAGTCAGAAAAAATGAGAATTTACTGCAGCCAACTTTTAGAGATGTAAACTGACTTGCCATTTGTTTTGGATCTCCCAATGCATTACTTTGTTGTTTTTGTCTAGAAATGTCACCTGAGATGATGCTGTTTATATCTTGTCTGTCACAAGTTCTACGGTTTGGTGGTAAGAACACAGAAACTGGCTTCTGTGCTGCTATGGTAATCATTACCTGTAAAAAACAAAATGAAGCAAATAACTTTTATCCTTGAGCCCATAAAAAATAAAAAAAACAGCTTTGAGATACTGCCTAATTAAGATGTAAATGTTCACCCCATATACTCCAAGACAACTATGATAATTATAATAGCACATTCATTATATTCACAAACGTTTGCAAAGCACCTACCATGTGCCAGACACTGTTTGCAAGTGCTGGCACGGCTCTTGCCAAGGGACTGGGGATAATAGGTCCTTTCTACCACAGTGTGGCTTCATTCTTCCCTTCCCCCAATATCCATGGGGTACCATGCTCTGACCTCAGCCTGAAAAGCGAAAGGTATTTAACCCCTACCTGAACATGTGAAGGTGGGAAGCCTCTTCTCTTTTCCCACAGCTCCTTGATTGAGAGATGCACCAACCATGGGGCTTCAGAGAATGAGGGAGACCATCGTTACGGGGAGATGCAAAGGTAAGGAGAGAGAGAAGAGGCTTTCATGTGCTGACCATGGGGTGGAAGGGCAGTAAGACAGGAGACTTGAGAAATGGGAATTGCAGTAAGGAGCTATCAAGACAAGAAATGTGTAAAGAGAATGAACTAGAAGATAGGACAGAAAAATGGATAGATGGACGCTGAGGAAGAGACCGGGTGTGGGAGAGCTAGAACTAGAGAAAGAGTGGTGAATGACAAAGCAGTTGTGTTACTTCACTGTGTCCCGGTTGTGCACTTCTCTTGGAGAACCTGGGGCCTCTCATTGTTTAGCGACTTTAGCCCAGCTTGAGATCCTGGGTCAGCTGCCCAGGCTCATTTATTTACTTATAAAATGCAACCTATCAAACTTAGAATCTAATGAAGATTCTTCTCTTGGCATAATAGGGCCAGTCTGGGCATAGGGCATGATCTGGTTCCTAACCCACTCTCCAACCTCATTACCTCCTACTCACCCTTTTGCTCAATCCACACTGGGTTTCTTACTGTACATCAAACATTCTTCTCCTGCATTTGGCCTTAACATATAGGCCTTTAAGCCTATAACGCTCTTTGGGCAAATATTTACATGTCTGTATTTCTCAGTTTATTCAGATCTCTGCTCAACTGTTACCTGATCCTAAAAGTCTTCCCTGACAAACCTATTGAAAACAGCTTTCCTTATCAATCTTCATGCCCAAACTATGATTTTTTTCATATCCCGAATTACTATCTAACTTCACACATTTATCCCTTGATTCATTCAACATATTTATCTTTGCCATTTTGAAGATAAGAGCCATGTGTTGGGAGAGATTTCTCCATGAGTCTCACATTTCTGCCTTTCTTGTGAACAGAGACATGGACTTTGTTGCAAATGATCTCTTCTAGTTCATTTGTATAGTAAACACCCTGGAAAGTGGAGAGAGTGTCTCACTCCAGAGTAAAGACCAGGAAAGCTTAGTGACCAATTAGAAAAGATTCAGGTTCCCTAAACTCAGTGTTCTTCTCCTGCAATACAACCCACTGCGTGTTCCCGTCACCTGGTTCCGCGGATCCCAATTCTCACAGGGTGATGCCAGTGCAAGAAGAGGCTGTTATTCTGCATCCACTGAAAATGTTGCAGGCTAACTTTTAGCTTACAACTAGGGTAAAATGCTTTAAGAGTGGATAGTCAGCTATTTAATTACATTTAGTTACATCTTTGTAAAGTTCCTTCCCACCCTTCCCACACTGCTACCTATGCCCAGATTCCCTGTTCCTCTATTAGCCACTATTGGTGTCTAGAGCACAATAAATTGCAACCACCCTCAGTGGGGCATCCCAAGACCTAATCAGGACTCACATGAAATAGCTTAGGGAAATTCCCAACCAGTGGGGCTGATCTCAAATCTCCTATCTCCGCCAGATTTGCACCCAGCAAGTCAATTTAGATAATCCCCTGACTTTTCCCCAAGGCTTGCAGAGTTTGAATTTTATCTGTGGGAGTTATTTATAGAGAGTTTTCTTCGTGCACAAGCAAGGCTGAAAATTTACAAGGTTGTTTTCATAGCTCCTTGATCCTCAGCTGTCTTAAGAACATTTGATTCAAAGGGCAGTTTTGTAGCTAATGCTAGCGGATCAGTTGGTGAGACTGAATTGCTGTTTTGCCTGACTTAACCTAAGTATGGTTTTAAAGAGGTGTAATTATTTATTTGCATTGGTAATAGAAGCACATGCAACAAACTTTATCCCCAAAGGTCTATGTAATTGAGTTATTATAGATCAATTTGTATTTTCTCATTCAATTGCATTACAATTTTAGAGGTAAAAGTACTTATTCTCATTGCTTAATGGTCTACAAATGAAAGTGATTACTGCCTCAATTGTCATTCTCCAAATGTTTATTGAACACCTATAATGTCCAAAGGATAGTGTTAGGCTTGCAATAAAGCTGGCAAACAAGTGCACCCTAATCAGGTTAGAGCATGATATGTGTCTTAAATATAAACAAAAGGTTAAGTATCAGTATAAGCAAAACGCCATGAAGGTTTTAGGAAATGGAGTGATGGGGAGTAAATAAGGTTCTTATATAACATCAAACGCAGGGCTTGATTTAGACTAAGTTTTCAATAAGTGCTTGTATAATTGAATGCAGGAAAGAGAGCATATCTTTTGGGGAAGATCAATGATTTTATGGAATAAATGTTATTTCATATAGATCTTGAGAAATAGGCTAATGTAAAATCTCTGGGAAAGAGTCCAACATTTTAGTAAATGTATAGGAAAATGAGAAGATGGAATTCTCTGCCTTTGAACTCCTTTTACTAATGTTTCATGACTTTGTTCTCTCCTCTGCTTCTAATACTAAGTAGTATTAGTAATTATATTATTAATTACTACATCTTATACTATATAGTTATTAATATAATTACTACAGGTATTTGAATTATATTAGTAATAATATAATTATATATTAGTGATTACAGTAATAATATAACTACTAGTAGTAATAATGACTAGTGAAGTGTCTTTATCATATTAATCCTTGTTTTCTTTTCTAGTGCAAATAAATAATTTTGATATTGACTAATGCATTTTATTATATTTCCAAAGTCAGTTTAGAACCAGGACCACTCTAGACAAAATTGTAGTAAAGCAAGGGGAATTTGTCATCACTGTTCCTTTCCCAGGCAACACATATTCTGAAACATTATACTCACACCAGTATAGGCCATTCTTGGTTCCTAAATCTTAAAGAGTTCCCTGTCTGCTAATCCGTAGCTAAGTTGCTTGATAAACAAATGACCAAAAAAAAAAAAGAATTACATTGTAACGGCTTGCTTTTATCTGGTGCTACATATTTAAAGATGGCAGCATGGAGCCAATCTGCAACTCATAGTCTTAAAGTGATGATTCAGATAGTGGGGGTTTTGTTCACTATGACAAGCTGGTGGTTGAAATACACTACACGCTGCTACATTTATACTATCTTCTTTGGAATCATAGAATTTTAAAGCTACAAAAGACCTTGGATATCAACTTTTAAAATAAGGAAATTGAGGCCTAGAGAGATGGAAGAAAACAAGTAAGCAAGAAAATAAGCAAACACAGATTATCCAGTCATGATTCATGCTAGCAGCATCAAACTAGATGAAATGAAAATTCAGTGCTTTTAATGTATAAGCTAGAGTTCTTAGCAATTTTAGGAGCCACTACTTATCATTGTTCTGAAATAACTTAATTTCTAATTAAGACCAGGTGTCAAACTGACAGTTAATGGGTCTCATTATATGAAAAAAAATTCTGAATATTATGATTCAATTATATATTACAGGTTTGTTTTTTCTGGTTACATCAAAGACAAAGCAATTTTCATTATAGAAAATTTAAAAGCTAGTAATTTCTAAGTGACTGCTGTAAGATCATACAAAGTGTCAGTGGTTCAGCAGGGATTGCAACTGAAATTATTGGCCTGCTCTTTAAAGTTTTTAAGTCCCAGAACTTCTGCCGTGGACCCTTATTTCCCACAATATTTCCAGCTGTGTGTAAGTTTTAAACACATAAATGTATGCTTAAGTATTTGTGAATGTATTTAGGCAACTGCTGTCTGAAATCCAAAGAAGAATAATCTCTGATGTCAAGGAGTTTCTATCTGGCTGGGAATTCTCAAGAAGTATATTCTATCCAGGAACAAGGAGGTTAGATAATCATATGGCTTGTAAGCTTCCACAGATGGTTTATACCTTGAAGTAAGTAATAGTAACAGTAACATAAACCAGAGCAAAGTTTTTGACGAAAGGCCCTAGAAGCTCATAGATTTTCTGTCTGACATTTTCACTCCTTTCAAGCCACATATTAATGATGCTGACCTTTTTAGTAATTTGATTCTGACAGTGACACAGCAGCAACAGTACTCAAAGGCTGACAGCCTGATGTGGGCAAGCCAGGGAAGTAATTACTGCTTTAAATCAAAGAAGAACTATTTGTGCCTCTGTAGCAGGAAAATTCCTTGTTAAGCAGGAACACTTCCATGCTCTGAACCATATTGTATCCATCATCTTTCTGTGGGTTTACTTCCCAGGGCTCAGAAAAACTGGCTGCCTATTTGTGCCTCCAGACATAATAAGCATGTTTTTTTGTTTTTTGTTTGTTTGTTTGTTTTAAGACAGGGTCTTGCTCTGTTGCCCAGGTTGGAGTGCAGTGGCATGATTACGGCTCACTGCAGCCTCGACCTCCTGGATTCAGGTGATGTTCCCACCTCAGCCTCCTAGGTACCTCGGACTACAGGTATACACCATCACACCTGGCTAATTCTTTTGTAATTTTGTAGAGATTGGGTTTTGCTATATTGCCCAGGCTGATCTCGAATTCCTGGACTCAAGTGAAGACAGACCCTGGAAATGTTGGACTAAGATCTCAGTATCCTATAGATAAATTCACGGTGAAATGAAGGTGCTTATGAAAATGCATTTTCGTCACATAACCTTCAGGCTGTAGTTTTGGATAAGAAGGAAAAGGGCAAGTTAAAGAATATTTTTAACTTAAAAAGTGTAAGCAAACTCAGTTTGCAAAAGACTAATTGGATTTTCTGCCTAGCCATTCCTTATTTCCCCATTGCATTGCACTTTTCCTGGAAGAATTAGATCAGGCTGGGCAATTTAGCTTTTGGTTTGTAACCAGATTCATTTCCTATCCCTCCTGGGTTTTAGCGGAGTTAGCTTTTAAACTATAGGAGGGAAAAACCACATTCTCACACTCAGAGCCAAGATTTCAAAACGATTTTTCAAACACCATTGACTTCTCTAATTATCAAATTCAATTCTTCAGCACTGTACTTGGACCATTCTAAACTATCTAGTTTCTCATATCTACTGATGATATAGCCAAAGGGCAGAGACTAAATGTGGACTTCTTGCTCCTACTTACTGAATTTCCTCATTCATGAGGAATAACTCATGCTTTGTCCCCATGAGTATAGGGCCATCGTTAACCTACACAGAACCTTTGGAAAATGGCAAAATATCCCATCTTTGGGTAGATGTACAAATCACCTAGCAGAGGGTGATTTTGTGAGAAACAAAAGGGCCTCCTGCCTCTGAATAAATGCTGCCCTAATCTAGTGCTTTAGCTTTGCATCATAAATATAGCAGAGGGAGTTGAGCTAATACTAGCTGCTATAACAAACTAGCTCAAAATGACCACTGGATTAAAACAACAGAAGTTCACCTCTAGTTCACAATAGTTACTTATCAACCTCCAATAGGCAGATGGAAGAAGGCAGAGAATGGAGAGGTCAACCTGCTTCTTGATCTCTTTGGCCTAGAAATAACATGCTTTACTTCTGCTCGTGTTCCACTGACAAGAACCAGTCACATGGAGCTTTCTAGAGGATGGGGGGAGTTAGGAGGTATAGTTCATATCTAGGTAGTCACTTTTCAGATACAAGGGAATTTCTGTTCCTTATGATTTAATAACATGCATTTTGAGCAAGTCAAAATGTTCTTGTGGAGCCCTACATTCACCAGGACACCGCAGAGCTGCTAGTGTTCAATTTAGGAGGCTGAGTTCCAAATGCTTTTCATATGCTAACGGCTTCAGACTATAAATTCATGTGAGCATGGACTTGGGAGTCAGCCAGAATTATCTTTAAAATCTCACAAATTGCTTAGCCACTCATAGTCTCAGTTCTCTCATCTATACAATACAAAATAGAGATAATAAGAACCCCAGTTCAACATAATGAATCGAATGGCTTGTTTGTCTCTGTTCCTTTCTGAAGTCCCAGTAAAATAAATATGAAATGTAACAATGTTATAATCTTTAAACCCAATTGGACAGTGACAGCAGATAGAAATGTCAATACATTTTAGCTGATGGGTGGTGGACTCAATGAAAGAGAACTGATTTGATGTAATGAAGCAAATAAAACTTTATAATGTAGTGAGGGGGTGAAGAAAGCCAGCAACAAGCAAACTGATTTATACCATAGAACACTATAAAGGCTCAGAAATTGGAGAAAGGAGGTACATCTGAAGAAAAGACTGTAAAATTGAACTGAAAACAAGATTAACTGCCACCATCCTGGGAGCTGGAGAGAGATGCAGTGCCACGTGAAACATGGGCTTACAGACAAGTCTGTGAGTGGTATGGTAAAACTCTTATCTTTTTCTTTTTCTCCTGCTTGGTTCCCAGATTTTGAGAGGCCAGGATTACATGTGCTCTCTTCTGGAGAAACTTCTGGGCAAAAGAAAAGGCCTATACACATCCTCATTGGGGGTGTATTAGTTGCTTGCTGCTGCTGCAACAAATTCCCACAAACTTGGCAGCTTAGACCAACACAAATTATCTTACACTTATGCAGGTCAAATGTCCAAAGTGGACCTCTTTAGACTAAAAGCAAGGTGTTGGCATTCTGGGGGATCTGGGGAAGCATGTTCACTTGTCTTTTCCAGCTTCTACAGGCTTCCCACATTGCTTGGTTTGTGGCTCTCTTCTTTCATCTTCATCTTCAACGTCAGCAACATCAGACCAACTCTCTTCCACACTGCCATCTGTCTGATTCTTTCTTCTAATTACCTCTTCCACTTTTAGGTGCCCTTGTGATAATACTGGGCAGCCCAGATAATCCAGGAAAATCTCCCTATTTTAAGGTCAACTGATTAGCAACCTTAATTCCATCTACAACCTTAATTTCTTATTGCCATGTAACCTGATACAGTCACAGGTTCTGGAGATGAGGACATAGCTATCTTTGGGGAACATTTGATCTCATCTCACAAAAATGCATTTGTGTCCTAGACTAATCACCTTGTGAGGCCCACTGGCTGCCAAGCTGTGCCCATGCAGACAGAGCTCCCAACTGGAGCCTCTCCCTTTATACATGAACTCACAGTCAAGGACCATCAGACATTAGGATACCTCTCAGAGGTAAGAGAAATGCATACAAGCACACTCGAACACATATCCATGCACTGCACTACACCACACACACCCACACTTATACTCAGATCCCTCTCACCTCTCACCCACCAGGCCCACAAGGGTGAGAGGAATGTGAGTATAAGTGTGGTTGGGTTTGGTTATAGTGCAATGCATGGATAAAGGCTCACCCCCTGACCTTTTGTAGGGTTCTGTGGTATAGATCAGTTTGCTTGTTGTCGTGAACTAGCTTTTAGCTTAACAACCTCTGCTGTATTTATGATTATGGCATCCCTGACTACAGATAGAGCAAGGATCTTCATCAGGCACATGGAGCCATTCCAGAATGAATAGGGCTTGCTGTATATTCTCCTGCTTTTCCCCTAGAGTTAGAACAGAAGGAAGGCTGGAACTACTTATCAAAAAGCAGATGAAGCTGGGGCCTATTGCCCTCAGCATCTGGGGCCTATGGTCCCAGGCCAAGTAAAAGAAGAACTATGAAAGAATTGTTCTGGCCGTGTGTGAAAAGATTAGAGTGTGAGGTAAAGTTGGAATACCCTGGTCTACTAGGCTGCAGACAAATGGGCCAGGTCAGAGAGAGCTGTTGAGATGTCGGGTAACATGAGAGGCTGGGGACATGGCCACATATGCTACATGGTTTCACCCTGTATCTCTCCCATTCTTCCCCTTCTCTTTTCCTTCCTTAATCCTACTATTTCTTTCTTCCTTCTCTATAACCTTTCCCCACTTTGGATTTTGTCCAAATCTCATATGAAATTATAATCCCAAGTGTTGGAGGTAGGGTCTAGTGGGAGGTGATTAGATTGTGGGGGCGGATTTCTCCCTTTGGTGCGTTCTTGTGATGGAGTTCTCATGAAATCTGATTGTTTAAAAGTGTGTGGCACCTTCCTCTACTCCAGTCTAATGTCCCCTTTGCCTTCCACCATGGTTGTAAAGTTTCCTGAGGCCTCCGCAGAAGCTGAGCAGATGCCAGCATCATGTTTCCTGTACAGTCTGTGGAACGTGAGCCAATTAAACCTCTTTTCTTTATGAATTACCCAATCTCAGATATTTCTTTATAGCAGTGAGAGAATAGACTAATACACTTCTCCTCTTTTTTTTTCCTTCAATGTCCCTGCATGTCTTTCTGTCTCTGTACCTATTTGTCACTTAAACTCTCCATATTATGACAATATCCTCTTAGTTTACACATAAATACGTACCAGAGTCAATGTACCTTTCTCCTCATTTTCCTGAAAATGAGTTTGATAGATTATTGCCATTTCTGGCATATTATATCACCTGCCTCCCCAAGATTTCTAGGAATATATGAAACAGGAAATGTAATAAATTGCTTTTCTTTCATAATAGGCTTTCATCTGGTATACTCTGAGGAAGTGTGCTAATGGAAGAGGTAGAAGTTTTATTGTCTCTAATCAATAAACCTAACTAAAACATTCCAAGTGCTCCGCAGTTTTTCCTTGAGTTAGTGGCATCTCATGGTTACATGAGATGGAGTGATGATTTTTGGAGTGATGATGGTATCAATGAATGCTAAATGCTGGGGGAGAGCTTGGGGTTAGCTCAGAACATTCTGGCCCTATTCTGGTGATTATCCTCCTAACGCCTGCCAAGAGGAAAGCTTTGAAGTTCTAGTTCCCAAACTGAGCATTCACTAGAACCATCAGAAACATCCCAACAGGCAAGGGATAAAAGATCATGAGTTATGATGGCTCTTAAAAGTGAAAGGAAGAAAATTAGATTATTCTAAAATATGTCATTAGATTTAGGTTTCTATATGATCATGTCCAAATTGATATAAAAGAAAAAAAAAACTTGCTTCAAAACATCTTAAAACCCTCTAACATTAAGTTCTTATATACTTAACTTGTTTCATAAGGTGTAACTAATGTTTAAATTTGTATTGAAATAATACATATATGTAGCCTAAAAATTAAAACAGTACTACAAGGTTTATAATGAAAAACAGCAACTCCACATTTCCCCAATTCTGATTTCTACTCCTATAGGTAAACATTCCATTCTTTTAGCTGTTTCTTCTGTTATTTATCTTCATCTTGCTAGATAAATACTTACACTGCCATTTCTTGATCTTCCAATTTTAGACACTTGATTTCCTACAATATAAAATAGGGATTTAGACCTCTTGCTCCATGTCCCCTTTGCACACTTGCAGATTTATTCCAAATATATTGACATCATAAATTTTGGTTATATCAATATTCAGGACTCAACGTTGTTATGTTTACATTAATAGCTATCACAGCTGGGCCACTGGCAATGGTGTCATTGCATTATATTTCTCATCTAGCTTTTCTATTTCAATGAGAGTAATCATTGCTTTTATGATGATTTGCTTAGATTTTGGTGTCCTTTCACTTCCAAATTCTCTACCAGATCTGTAAGATTCCTCTCATTATAGTCAGGTTTATCACAAATTCTATGCATTATTTTTAGTTTTTCTTAAAGACATCCCCTCTGGAGGCTTCCATTCTCTTACTCCTAGCTGCACTGGTTGTTGAACAGACTGTGAAACAACTGGGTATTTTGGGGTCTTCTCTTTTTTTTCTATGTAAATCTTGCCTGTTTGATTCTAAATCCCTGTCCCTCCTTATTTTTTGCATATTTCCCTTTTTAAAGAAATGGAAAACATCCTTTAGCAACTTTCTAAGAAGGGAATAATAGGGATAAATATTTTGAGACTGCCTATAAATGAAAATCTTTTCATATACCCATAATTGAGTGGTCATTTATATGGGCCCTGAAGGGTTAGAATTTAAATTTTACTCGATATTTAAAAGGCATTTCTCCATTATCTTCTGTAGTCTAGCTTTGCTGTTGATAAATTCAGTACCATTCTGATTTCAAGTCTTTTGTATGTGACCTGGTTTTGATTTGTTTTCCTATCTCAAGAAGCAGTGAGAATGTCTTGACAGTGTTCTGAAATTCTCTAATGATATGCTTTGATGTGAGTCATTTTTCATTTATAATAAGGGGCTCTTAGTAGACCTTTCTGTTTCAGGCTTATGTCTTCAGTTTTGAAAGTTTTCTTATAACATTTCTTTGATAATCTTCACACTTCCACCATGCCCCTCCACTTTCCTGGTCTTCAATTCCTGGATCTTCTGATGAATCTTTAATCTAATCTTATTTTAGAGATATTTCCTTGACTTTATCTTCCAACCCATATATTGACTTTTTTGTAAACTTCTACTATGTTTAATTCTCCAAGATTGTCTTTCTCTCAATGTTTCTTTATTATGGCACTCTGTTTTTGTTTTATGACAATAAAATCTTGGTTACGTAAATAAATTAATTTTAGGTTTTCAAAGTTGTCATTTTCTGCCAGCCAGCAATATCTCTATTTCTTATGAGTTTCCCTTCCTTCCTTGCCTTTTTCTTTCTTTTTCTTCCTTTCTCTTCTTTCTTCCTTCCTTCCTTTTATTGTTGTAAGAAAAATTAACATGAGGTTTGCCCTCTTAATGACTTTTTAAAAGTGGATAATAAAGTATTATTATCTATAGGCACACTGTTGTACAGCAGGTCACTACAACTTATTTATCTTGTATAACTGAAAGTTTATACCCCTTGAATATCGACTCTCCATTCCCACTCTCCTCAGCTTCTGGCAGCCACCATTCTACTCACTGCTTCTATGAATTTGACTATTTTAGATACCTCATATGAGTAGAATCATGCAGTATTTGTCTCTCTCTAACTGGCTTGCTTCGTTTAACATAATGTCCTCAGGTTCATCCACATGGTCACTTATGACAGAATTTTTTTTTTTTTTTTTTTTAAAGACAATGTTTCCTTCTTGTTGCCCAGGCTGGAGTGCAATGGCGTGATCCCAGCTCACCGCAACCTCTGCCTCCCGGGTTCAAGCGATTCTCCTGCCTCAGCCTCCAGAGTAGCTAGGATTACAGGCATGTGCCATCATGCCCAGCTAATTTTGTATTTTTTTTAGAGGAGACAGGATTTCTTCATGTTGGTCAGGCTGGTCTCAAACTGCCAACCTCAGGTGATCCACCCACCTTGGCCTCCCAAAGTGCTGGGATTACAGGCATAAGCCACTGCGCCTGGTCAGAATTTTCCATTTTTTATGACAGAATAATATTCACAGATATATGGATATGGTATAAATATTTATTATGCCTTTTTTATCCTTTTATCCAATGATGGACATTTAGTTTGTTTCCACAGCT